TTCGTGCGCCACCATGCATTTTCCTATATGCTAATGTTGATCCGAGCAATAGTTTTGGAGATACTGCCTTGAAACGTTGTACGCTCGTATATAGTCACGTAAAACGTTAAACTAGGTTTTCTCGAAACTGTGTTTTCGTAGTCGGTTGTCAAGATTTTTCGTGAAACACTCATTTTAATTAAATTGTACACAGGTTTTCGAGATATAATTTACAAGGTCTTGAACGAAAGATTTCTCTTTTTGCGATTTCCAATTTTAAGTACTAAAAAAAAACACGTCGATAACTTTTCACCAACCGAGGAAAACCATGTAACCCCATAAGCGATACTCTACAAAATATTCAAATAAAGTCTAGGTAAACAAAAAACTAACTTAAGAACCATAAAATTCATTTTTGAATACCATGATTATATTATTAGCATTATTTTAATTATCTCTGACAGTTAAACCCTTTCAAAATGACTTGAATATCAAATAAGTTATAAATATCTACAGCTTTCGGGACAAAATTACTCTTAGCTATACAACATCGCCAGACCAAATGAATTCTGTCTTTGTTACAGACTCAATTGTAAGCAGCTTCCATACCTCTTAGGAGGTACAAGTAAATCTGAAATTGTAACAGTTTGTATTCAACGGAAAACGTTTTGCTAGTTATTTCTAGCTACGTTGTTTGATAAAAACAACCTTAAAGTCAAAACAAGGTACCTAATAAGCAAAAAAGATCTTTTATAAAAATATTTATCTTGATTTTGATTGATCAGTTTCTGTGGCAGCTATGACTCCCGTCTCTTATTTATCCGGAGAAGTTCTCAATCAAAATTTTCTCCACAATAATTTCTCATCAACATAAATTTCTCATGGTTAAATTTATCAATACAAAAATCTCAGTCACAAAAATTTCTTCTGAGAGAAATTTATCAAGACTATTCAAACACGTCTATTTACGCACACATTAGGATAAGATAAAATATTTATACACAACCTAATGCTTGTGACACTTCAACATAAATATATTTAATTATATACGTTATAATCATTAACTATATTTAATATACGTCGATTGTGACGCATGGAAGCAGCATTCGGTTTTTTCGGTGGATCACCACGAACATAGTGTTCCACTCACACATCACGCAAAAAGTTAATAAACTTCCACACATTCATATGAGCAGCTTGTGCCCCAACTGTCAAACTTCCATGGCAGTCCTCGATTCGATTATTTGTATGCTAACCACCGTAAACAGTTATTTGATCCACAGCCCGAAACCAAATTTAGGTCCAGTCCGACCACGACGATTGACACTACCAATCCATGTAGTCTTGAAATAATTGAGCAGCTCTTGCAGCTCCTCAGCATTATCTTTGAGGAACGTAGTTTTCATAAACTCATCATAAACGGCAACAACATCAGTCTCGGGAACAAATGCGAGAGCATACAACATTCTCAACTGCAATCCAAAGTCACCATCTCCGGCATATCGAGCCTGTAATCCACACCCCTGTATTCTGCTCCATCCAACAAAAATATCCTGGGCAGCCTTTATGAAAGCCAACTCGTAATCCGTTATTTATATAATAATTTTAGGGTTTAATCCAGGCTTGATAGCCTTCAATTGCATAACTTCTCCCTTTATAATTCCATGTATGCTATACAGCTGGTAGAAAATCGGATGAATGACATGAAATGTTCCGTCAGCAAACCAAGTACCATGATGCTTGAAGATAACTCAAAATAATGTATCTTCCACGGCGATTATTAGGAAGCTCATCTGAGTCACATACCAAGAATACAACTCCTTCCAAGCCTTACGATGCGCATCGGGAATTATTAATTCATTAATTGATACAGGATAAGCAGGGCTTATCTCATTATCAGCCATTTTCTTTTCGGAAAGGGGTTTCTTTTATTTTTGATTAATTATGAAATGGAGAGGCATTTTATTATTAAAGAACGTCACAACACATCAGCAATGCTTCGAAATACCAAATTATTTATTAATGCAAACTAACAGGTGAAAACTATATAGAAATTAAATAGGTACAAATGAACCACAATAACATATACTAGAAACTCTATAATAGATTTCTGGACGAAACTCCATATTGAGTTCATTTACCAGCCGATTTAGGTAGGTAGGAAGAAGTGCTGCCATCCTGGGCTCAATTGGCGCTGGATGCGCCATCTTGAAGCACTATCGTAGGACTTTTATGATCTTGCTATTTTGTTTCATCGTTGCGCTCAAACCATTTGATGCTATCAATGAAACTACTTATATCAGTTATGCTTTTTATAGACAGCCATTCAAGGTTTGGTGCCTGATGTGTTCCAATCATTCTGTGTCTGGTTTGTGTTAGGACTCAGCATTCACAGAGAAAGTGGAAAACGGTTTTTTTATTCCCTTCTAGTTGCAGCTACGGCAAATATTGTTATAAGGCAGAAACATTTTTAGCGAATGTTCTTCAAAAGGCCAGTGTCCCGTCTTAGTAGCTGTATGTTAAGTCTGTAAATACTATTCCTAGACCTAAGTAATAAGTCCCTAGTTGTAATCTTATCATACTTGGCCATATCTGCTTCGTTATCTTGAAGTTGATTATTAATTTCCATCTGCCCTGATCTATTTGTTCAAAATGTGTATAAAGCTCTTTTTGGATCATTCCCAACGATCATGATTTTAACTATGGCTCGGACTCGTTTAAATAGTCTTCTAGCTTGGTCTGCTTATTCGTCGCCGAAAATGTTCCTCTGGCCGGGAGCCCAAATTATGAGCAAATGGAATTGACCTGTAAGTCTATCAAAAGTGCTTGGCAATAAGGCGGATATTAAAGTACTAACTCACACGAAGCTACCAGAAATTTTTGACTTAGATGATGTTACCACAAAAGCCGATATATTCCAGGCTTTAGCTCGCAGTTCAAACAACTCAAGCTCGGTGAAAACTCCATTAAAATCATAAGAAAAGCGTATGCAGGAACACAAACCGCAATTTTAAGTCTTTCCGTGCAAGAAGCATTGCAGCTAGTAGACGCGGGAAAGATGAAAGTTGGCTGGGTTGTGTGCCCGTGAAAGGTCCAACCTTAAGAAATGTTTCAGACATCTGGAATATGGTCACGTAGCCAAAAGCTGCACTAACCCAAAAGACAGAAGCGGATGCTGTATTAAGTGCGGAGAAAAGGGGCACTTTGCAAAAAGCTGTTGCAAGGTTTCTTGTATATCTTGCAAAAATGCTGGAGGGGCAACTACAAATCACCAAATTGGAAGCAAAAGATGCCCAGTCTACATACAGACTTTGAAAAGTTTCTTGACGTTCTAGCAAGGGATGTCCAAAGAACAATACCAAATTTAATAGCAGGCGAATTCAACGCCTGGGCTCTGAAATGGGAAAGTCGAAAGACAAATCAACGTGGAAATGCCTTGCTCAAAGCATTCTCACTACTTGACGTAGTACTGCTAAACACAGGATTCAAGAACACCTTTGAAAATAATGGATATGGCTCCATAATTGAACTTAAAGCCTTCTTTCGTTTGTTGACTACGCTGGAATTAATCTCTGGCGTCGACAAAGCCACCAATTCCGCCTGGCTTTCCTTGTACAATAGATTGTTTCCTTCCGTATCCTCCCGTAGTTATTCAATAAAACACCACAGTCACACACTCACTCTATGCCTAGTAATTCCGCTTGGAATATGCTTTAAGGCAACGGTGTAATCTTCGAAGAAATTGTTCATATCGACTATCACTATAGCATATAGCTGCCATACAAACAGAACGATCGGAACAAAGTTCTTGTATGTCTAAGACAATAATCTAATCTCCGAAGAAATTGTCCAGATCTAATAACTATACCATACAGTTGTCATACAAACTGAACGATCTGAATCAAGTTCTCCCCCGGAGATGGTTTAAGACCCCAGTTCTTGTCAAGCAGAACTCTCAATCTTTGAAAATTTAAACTATTATCTCACACAAGTGTGAAGAAAACTGGCACTCAATCAATGAAAAATATATTAAGATGGTTGTTCTTATATATTATACTATTTTATCAATTGGAGACACTGGAAGAATATGATTGAAGCTTATCTGGAACAGTTCAGATGCTTTTACCATGTATTACTAATGAAAGTACTTAACTAAGACTAAAAATCGAGGAGGAAATTCATTGTAGCGTGACCTATGATATCCCGACCTTGATTACAACGTACGCAAAAAATCAAATTGCTCAATTATTGTCTCTGAAATCGCCCAACATTTTATTATTATATGATGTTTCTATTTTACAGTTCTATATACCATATCCGTTCGACTCCTAATTTTCACCCTACGTTTTCTTGGATTCGTGCTGAAGCAATCAGATGAGCGATAAACATATTCAGTAATATTATATATAAATTCTAAAAAATATTCGGCAAATCTGCCAGAGCAGATTCAGCAGATGTTATAAAAATCTAAGTTGTATTTATAAATTTTACATTTCCGATTTTATAATATTCCAGCAAAAAAATTACTCAAACTTCAAATCAGTCGGTTGAAGCTAAATATTAAGGTACATACCTATGTACAAGTTATTTAGACTTGAAAACAATATTAGTGACGTGGCTGCCTTAATTGGTCCCAACGACATTAACACTCTTTGCTGTGTTTTTAATCACTTTTTCAACGGGGGCTTAGGGAGGTCAAATCTGTTGAACTGGATGACCAGTCAAATTCATCAGGTTCATTGCTAATGATTTGAGAGATTGTTCGAGTAGCACTCTCTCTGACTCTGTTGGCGACCGCTTACATATATGTATATCAATTATCAATAGGTTAGTACGTTTACTACCACCGTAAATGTTTACTAACCACCGTAAAAAACGGTCAAAATATCACATAGTTTTGATAACATATAAAAAATAGAAGCGTAGAAGGAACTGCATTTTAATTAAAGTTCAGTTTTTTTCGAAAAATGCTTTTCAATATTTGGATTGAATGATTGATTTGGTCGATGGATGAAATTTCGTAAGAATTTCAGCAAGATCTGGTTTCGATTCAATACTTAATTAATGATTTCAAATTTTTAGAAAATTAACCAAAGCAACATTTTAAATTTTGTATACAAATTGCCCAAGAAAAAAAATTGAGTAAACTGAAAAATCAAAATGAAAAGTCAACAAACCGCAGACCATTAAATAGTCCAAATCCAACGCTGCACAACTACTCGACGACAGGTGGAGAATTGTCAGATTAGGTCTCCGCAACGTCACGCATAAATGTATATGTATGTATGTATTCCATATTTTCTCGCTACATCCATCTAGATATATTATATTTCCATTTTGCTATTTCTTTCACAAATTTACAACTATTTCAAGACAGTGGTTCCAGCCAAGGCAAGTGCCAGCTGGAAGCTGTCAACGCACTGATTTATTATTTATTAACAGAAAACAAGTTGAAAGTTGCAAAAAGGAAACCGAAAAGCTGCGGTAAACGAATAGGGATGGATGGCAAACGTGCAGGGAGTGCAAAGCGTGTCAGAAAAGATGAGCTAGGCGGCGCATGGTTAGTATACCCAAACAATCAATCAATTATGTAGTATAACTCAAAACAGCAGCCAAATGGCCAAACTGAAAACAACAAAATAAAGACAAATTTATTGATTTAAAGTATTCTGAAATGTTCGGTCCGAAATAAACCCAAACTGATCACACTGACAGCTGTCAATTCCATATACAAGCCATTTGTGATAACGGTGAGTGTAATTTCCGTATGAAAAATAACTCGGACATGAAAAGATTCGATTTATTTCCAGTTCGTCTATAGAAATTGCTGCAATCGGAATAGTTTCTTTAATAACTGGAAAAGAAAATTCTTAGGTAGCTCGATTGTGTTAAAAAAGGGTTAACACTAGAGGTTATTTTGAGAAAGGATACTTATGCACAATTTTCGCACTAACACACCATAAGTGTTACATACCGAATTGTTTTTGAAGCATCAAAATAGTAATCTTTTGTTGGCATTTGAACCGTTTTAAAATGCATTTGTCACCGAGTGGAAAAAGTCAAAATTAGTCAAAGATATTTAAGCCCATTTGCTGCCCGCTTGGAATTTTTAATTTATCACTTTTTTTGTATGTGTGGGCGTGCATATACGCAGTCATCAGCTTGTGTGCCTAAAAGCACACTTCATGCTCCATTACACCACTGTTTGAGCAGTTTAAATTAAATACCTTTCTTCTTGGCTTGCTCGCTAACGTGGTTACATACCATAAGAAATAATATTCCATTTGCTAAGGTTTAATAATAATGTAAGGCAAGAGCTGCCTTTTTCGGAATGCAAAAGAAAAGTTTCAGCTCAGAGCTAATATCGTATTAAATGCCGTATTTGGCAGTCATTATGTGTATGTTCATGTTTGTGTTTGGGATTTCATTTTGTTAAGAACGCTTAGAGAAGACAATAATTTCATTTGAGTTTTTCACATTAAAAAAAATTTTTATGTGCAATCAAGGAGGTGCTAATGATAAAGCAAACTATCTTAACTTAGAGAGCTTCTTGATAGCGATTCCAGTAAAATTTGCACCATCCTAGCATTAATGACAAAACTATGTAATACATCTGTAGTAGAATATCTGCCGAAAAACAAGCGGAAGCCAAAATTACTAAAAAAAACTAGGAGTCAAAGTCCAATTCATCCTCTGTAGTAAAATTTCTTTTTGTATCAAAACAATTTGATGCGAAGTTTGTGATAAGCGAACTGAGGTACCAACTAGTGTATATAGTAAAGAGCTGACTTATAAGTGCTACCCCCATGTCAATATGTACATAGACAAACACTTCGACTTCATCTGTTGTTTACGAAAAACTTCCTGCAAAAGTTTGAGGCTTTGTTTAAAATGTTGTTAACTGTAATATCATGTTCTGGTTTAGATCAAAATGTTTCAAGCAACTTGGTCAACTTCAGATAGAAGAGCACAATTACCTCGTCACTGCATTTCTTTAGGAATCTTAGAACGAAGGGGAGAAAAAGTACGTTTATAATCCATTGAAGATAAATAATATATCATACTCAATATACAATTATCCGATTAAAGTTCCGCTACTCTACTTTGCGTAATCCCGAATAACGCATCGATCGCAGAACAACGAAGCTGATAGTGTTATTAGACCACCTTTCCAGACGTTCAAATGAGATGAAGAGGTAGCTTATATCATACACGGTTCTATTGCGAGTAAACAAAAGTAGCAAACATAGCAGCGCTTTAAGACTTTGTAGCGTGCTCGGTCGGTTCGGTCAGCATACTAAAATAACCACAAAGGATTCTCTTATCAAAGACGTCGAAATAATAGTCTTAGAATCACAAACGAAGAAAATATGCACCATGGGATGACTCTTGAAGTAATCGGGAAAAACTGAATAGTTTTGTGGTATGTCAACGGATAATGTCACGTAAGAGAGAACGATGAGGTCCGACTCTCACCAGCTCTGACGGTATTCCAGGTAGTTACTGCAGGAGACCATCCTTCTCTGAATTGAGGAAATTTAATTCAACTCTCTCTCATTTTTTATAACTTTTATATCTTTGATCCTGTTTAGTCTACACTGCATTGGTTTCTATATAAACCCTCACACACATTGAATGATATTAAACCTCTTATTAAAATTACCCTCCTAAATCGGACGCTGGTGCAGACAAATGTCATTTACAAAAATTCTACTATCGAAAATGTTTCTCAATTAAATTTGCATTTCCATTGCTTAATTATCTCAGCGGGCGGCACAACTCTCCAATTGCGGCAGACACGAATATAAGCACAAACCTTGAGCTGTCAGATGAGCGCAACCTGCGCACAAATATACACGTAAATCTATCTGCTGTACGGGGCGGTGCGCACAAACAGCAAACAACACCTGAGTTGACAGGTAAACATAACAATGGCGGGAGACGAAGGGGGAAAGAGGCGAAGCACCGGCCGCCAGCTGTAATTCATTTTTGGTTTATAATTTGCACGAAAAACTTACACCTCCACTTAGCTATATGCACCGGCCTCTTCCCCCGGTACCGTCTTGAAGCGCTGATTGCTCTGGCTCTGTAGACACTGTGCGAATTAAAAATACTTACGTCTCAACAAAATGCCAACACCATACATGCAAACGTACTTCTGGTACAGAGCAAATGAAGTGGGAAACAATGAAAAAACTTTTAGCAGCAAGTTTAGTAAGAAAATTGTTTTCTCATTTTCAACACCCTAAAGTAGACAATGGAAAATGTTCGAGACGAACACCAAAAACAGCATAGCACCTGCATAGTGTTTCGATAGATCACAATAAACGAGCAAAAATTCAATAACAGGTAGATTTTTTAACCACTATCTTCCATCTACAATAACGTTTTTTACTTAACATATAATATTTCAATTTAAATACAGGAAAATGTAGGGACGTATGAAAGTGACATACTTTTCAAAAGGGTTAAAGAATCAGTATATGGGAAGAAGTTTCTTCAAATTTTTTTACCACCTAATTTCTAATGGTAAAAGCAAATAACGGGTTGAGACTTCAAGCCTCCCTGAAAGAGTTTGTTTTCACAAATTTCTAAGACCATAAAAATGTAGACGAGTACATACTATCCAACCATAACAAAGCTGATATATACTAACGACTTTATATAAAAACAAAGCTGCGAGAGTTGATTGGCTATTAAGTAAACCAATGGGAAACTCCACCGGAACTCCACCTGTATCTATTCCAAATATCATTTAAGTAGGTTTATGCTTCAATAGCGTTCTTTAAAATTCCTATAATATGTGTCGAAAGCTTGGACACTAAAGCTGTCAAAAGTTTGCATCATCGCCTGGTATCGAATAATTAAATTACTTTAGTTTACAATACTCAATAGTGGTAGTACAACGATCAGAAATATCGATCGTTAACGGATTTAACCCTCATTTCTTGCAGTTGTTGTAAAATTTGCAAATTAAGAACTTGAGCAACACAAAACGTAATAAGTGCCCAATCCCACGTCAATATTTAAGTTTTATTCAAATTCGCAGCCCTTTATTTCGCAAGCACTCTCAAAATTCCATAGAATCTCAAAGATCTAACAAAATTTTAAATGTGGGATGAAGTTACACTGGTATATTAAGTTTTTTTTATTTAGCATCTAACTCTAGAAATTTGGTGGCGGTTTCTATAAAATGGGAGGCATTCCATTAATTCGGTTTATTTCTTAGATATAGTTTTATATTATGCAATTATCACATGCTCTTATGTTGTATTCATAGTACACGATTATAGTAAGTCTTCTGAGAGCTGAGAATTGTTTATCAACTTCTCCCTATCTTCAAAAATATGTATATACAAGTATGTTTAATGTATGTTAATTGTACAAACCATTTCAAAGTTTACCTATGGCGTTTAGGTGGTCGTCTGTAGAAAAATCATCTTAGTATCAATCAAAAGGCCCACTATCCCACCATATTCTACACAATAGACGCCGGTCAAAACTTTAAGCCGCACCGCCTGTTATACAGTGTCCAGTTGAAGCTCTACACCTTGGACAAGATTATATTTGCTGAGAGCGTGTAGTTTAATGGACCACTTATTTTCCACTCTGGGATAGAAGGATATCACTGACGAATGTTGATTATTGACCAGTGGTCAAATAAAGCCCAGTCTAGTGATAGGCCTTAAAAACGCAACAGCGCAGCGTCCACTCTGATCTTAGTGGGGCAAGGGGGCCCTCCCTTACAAGCTTGTCTACTTTACAGTTTCCACTGATTCCCCTATGTTTGGGGAATTGTTGTTTCCATTCAAGTTGACTAGCCTTGATTATATTTTGTAAAACCTGCGCTCCTTCGGTGTAAAAGAATACATTTAAAGTTTCAGTAATTGCTCTCTTACCAGGGGTCAGAAAATCGGCTGTTACTTTTTGTATAGTACAGCAATGGATCTGCTTATCACAGATTTAGAGTTTTACCGTTTTTGTTTTCAGCAAAACACTGTGAGCTCGGTGAAGGTAAATGTGAGTTGTGTGTCACTGAGAAGGCCATTGTTGCCTTAGCGGTTATACAGATTGGTTGTTATCAGTTGGTCATCTGCTATACTGTTCCCTCATCACCAACAATTGTTGCAGCTGGCGTGCTAATGCCTTGCAACTTTTTGTGTATTTTCAGTGTTGTGCGCCAAAGTGTGGCACAAGTTGCATGCAAACTTTTCACTCATTTTTCAGCAGGCAACTTTTGCCCGCTTTTATTTAGAATATTAATGCTTTTGTTGCTGTTGTTGCACAATTGTCGGTGTTTGTTGTTCGTTTTCAGTTCATTACGCTTCTGAGGAATGCAACTGCTTCGTCAGTTTCCAACTTCCGTTGTATCAACACATGTTGCAATACTGCATACATGCTTATACCATACATCGTACAATTTGACGTTGCGGGCTCATGGCTGAAGTGTGCAAATACATATGGTGACAGCGCATGAAGAAGTGTCCGCACACTCAGTGTATTTTACAATTGTACATAAGAATCTATGTGTGCGATCGTCTGGCACTCTAGCAGTTGTGAACTGATGTGGCACGTGAATGCTGCCGGCTACTTTTGTGATTATTTTCTTGTTGTTTGCCATTTTGACATTGTTATTATTGTTGTTTTGACTTTTTGTTTAGCCACTCATTTTTCTGGACAAATGTTGCTGACATCTGCTGCTACTGCTACCTCTGCTGGCTTGTTTACGACTGCTATGCAATGCTATGTCAACACACTTATGGGTATATGTGTTCTCATACATATAATATATACATATTTATAGCTGTAAATATTTGAGGCAAAAGTACATAAAATGCAGTTGCTGCCATTTGTGCCACCTGTTCCCAACTCTTGCATAAGTTTTATGAAAAATGCTTCGTTGAAGTTTTCGACCATTTGAATTCTTTTGGTTGGTGCTAACAAATTCCTTGCGATGAATCTAGTGGAGCACTGCAATCATTTTTATTCAGCACTTATTTTCATTCACCTTCATCAAATCTGCATACTCTTTTAAGACGTTGTTGACTAAAAGTTTTACATACATTAAATGCACATAAAGCGAATTAAAAATTTAACTACTCTTAAGGAAGGCCAAATAATTGAAATTTTAAAAAGAGAGCCAAGGAATAAATGATCATTTCATAAATGGATCTGAAATATTCTTCTCGAAAACTTTCAAGTATTTCAAGAATTATAAAAATTATATGAAAATTCAAAATTTACTTTAAATTTTCTTCTATTAAATATAATATTGTACTTACCATTTATGTAAAAGTTCATTTTAAATTTTATTTTTGAGCAGCTATAAAGGACAGTACATTGCTTTGCCAAGAACTCCAAAATGTGGATCAAAAGTCTGTCTTAATCGACAAACTGCTTTGAGCTTGCGACACATTTGTTGAAACAGTTAATATCAATCGGTTCGCCGAACAAATGCCTACAGAGATGCTTCAACCGCAGTCTAGTGAAAGCTGGACATAAGGGTCCAGTTGTTTTCGCCTTCTCCAAACAATACTCTAACAGAATGTTTACATATAACACGATTATCTCCATTTACGAGCTTAACTCGATAATCCGTTATTAATAAACGAGATTTACTGTACAAAATTCTCCTCTCCTAAATCCGAGATTAGTTTTTAATCTCCGATTATACAACTAGAATTGCGGTGTTCTTCCTAGTTTTATCGATAACTTTTGCGAAGGAGAGGAGACATGTCAAATGACAAAGTAATCAAAAATGGCCGATAACGAGGGAAAGAGGTTTGTAAATAAATTTTTAATAACACATTAGTTTAAGTGAATTCCGGGCGGCAAATAGAAAAATAGCGACAGAAATTGAGGCAATTAAATAAAATGGCAGGGAGACACTGCAAATTGAAAGAGAGAGAAATGCCATTCTCGAAAAATTTCTGGAAGCCTTTGAGCAAAGTATTGTATTGTAGTAATATATAATCACGAATTTCATTTGCGGGATATACATCTATAGTCTTTTGTGGCCTTTGCCACCGACATATCTTTAAAAACGTGCGATTTGCGATTAACACCACGAAGCTGCGGCAATTTCTCTTCTCTCTAGTCCGAGAGAAGTTCAATTTAAATTTCAAGTACTTAGTAGAAGTATTTTGTTTTGTTAAGGAATTATTTTTTTGTTAATCAATTCATTTTATTTCATTGTTGAGATAAAATTGATTTACAGTTAATAATAAAATAACAAAAAATGAACTGAATGTAAATGAAAAATTTAACTGATAAAATAAATAAAACTTACATAAAAATATAGCTATTGATTTTCTGATGTTATCTGCATTAGTGTCGTCGGTTCCACAAATTAATAACGGATCTGGTTCCTCTCGTGGATCTCCTGTCATTCACTTCATTTAAAAAACTGTGCAAGACTCAAGAATATTTCATTATTGTTATTGCATTTTTAATATCGTTGTCAATTCCTTTCCCTATCCTTCTGAACCCTGCTTTCATATGGCCAAATGCGCTCTTCACAACCCTTCGAGATTCAGATAAGTGGTAATTAAAAATATTCTCGTGATAGGGCTTCGTTAGAAACGGAGTAAAGCGAAATGCTGAGTCAAATTCACAAACTTACCTACTGCGCCCAGACATTGTGGACGTTCAACGCACTCCGTAATTTTTTCTTGCATGAGAAATGAACTAGTTAAATATGTCCCACACCCCTCGGCAAAAGTTTTTAATAATAAGACATGCAGATGCTTTGGAAACCCCAAATAATCTTCCAACTGTTCTGTAATTAGCAGAAGAAAGGAATACATTGCCTGTATATCGTATTACGTTTGTCAATGTTTTTTAACCCATTATACAAAAATTGTGAATGATTCCCTACTCATCCTGAAGCTTTTCTTGAAAAATTGGTCACTATTACAGGCAACGTCGAGCTCCCAAAAATTACCGTACCTTTCCTATAATTCAACATCAAGCGGGTAACTTGTTTTGAAAATTTAAAAAAAAGTAAAGTAATTGCTTACGTGTTTCTACAAACGTTTTGGTCTATTATAATTCAATACAAAATGCAATAACGCATTTTGCATTTATATACCAGTGAATTTTTTTTTCAATCTGAGTTGTCGTCTTTTCCGTATTTCTGGCAGAAATCTGCCCAATTAAGTATGCAATCGCCTTCTTTTTTTCTTCCATATCTTTAAAATGTTTAATTTCAACGTTTTAATTAATATTTAACTTCACCAAGAAGAAAACAAATACGACACATTTGACACCTGATAATCTCCGTTGGCTATGTAAACGGTTTGATTGTTGAACCAGCTTAGAACGAGACTATTTTTATATGTAAACATACTTTAAGCCAGAAAGATCTCGCCGCCATACTCGTT